TCTTTTGATTTTAAACAGGGAACAGTGGCGTAGCGAGGTCGGGTGTCACCCGGTGCGGCACTCAATGGTGTCACCCCCCCAGAGGCGTTGCGACCCTTCCCGGGGACAAACTTTCAAGTTTTCGATTTGCACCCCCCCCCCCTCAAACTTTCGATTTGCACCCCCCCCCCTCGAGTTTTCGATTTGCACCCCCCTCAAACTTTCGATTTGCACCCCCCCCTCGAGTTTTCGATTTGCACCCCCCCCTCAAACTTTCGATTTGCACCCCCCCCCCTCAAGTTTTTCTCATATATTTCGCTATTTTTTGCCTTGGTGTCACCCCCCTAAATGGTGTCACCCGGTGCGGTCCGCACCCCCCCGCCCCCCCCTCGCTACGCCCCTGTCAGGGAATGCTTTTTTTAATCTCAAAATTTGGAAGACAAGTTTTATTTGTCACGATCAGTGTTACTCTGGAACAAAACCAAAATTGGCTTTATTTGTCTCACCATAAAAAACACCATTTGTTTTTTTTTTTCAAAAATAATATTACAGTACAAGATACCCAATAAATAGAAATGAAAACTTAAAATCTAAAAATATTTAAACCAATGTTTTTATCAAAGTTTATTTGTAACTGAAAAGATAAATTACAATTGTGCACGTTTTTTACGACCTCAAAATTTTATTACAAATTTAGCTAACTACATAAGGAGCAAAATAAAACACAATTATGATAAATAAAATAAGCTCAAAATAAGTAAAGTCTTTTTAATGCCACGTATGGAAACAACTGCTAGAGTACCGATCAAATGTAATAAACGTGAGTGATACCATGCTATACATTACAAAAATCTTGATGAAAATCTGCGAATATTGGATATTTAAAGCAAATTACTTACGTTTTCTTTGTTCGGCAGTTGCGATAACATGCAATCCCGAAAAGGATAGCACCTAATATGCCGAATCCTAATAAGAAAAACTCAAAAAACTCCATTTAGCCATACATGACTAGCCCAGACATTAATTCAAAATACTTCTGTCTATTGGCCTATTGCTGAAAGTGTTTGCACTTCTTGTGGTGGGTGACGAAGACTGCAACTTGTGAACCGGGGCTTATATTTTGTTTGGGTGTTCTGCGGCGCAGTTTGTCCAATAACATAGAGACACATAACAAAGGTCAAGCAAGGACGACCCGATTTAAATAAAAAAAATCAAAGACGCAATTGGAGGGGGGGGGAGGAAGGCGGAACCATTTTGTAAAGTGCATTAAAAAGCGTTAAGTCGAGTTTATTTAATAACTAATATAGTAAAATACACCATACATAGAAGGGAGAAAGGAAGGAAGAGTGATGGCATTATATATTTTTACATAGACTTTTGGTCGTGACAGGTAAAATACTGATTAATGCATGTATATTTTTATAAATTACTTACAACAGTCTATAATGTGCAAGAGTTTGTGTGTGTATGTGTTTGTGTGCGTGTGCATGTGTAGGAGAGGGTATTGTCAAAAAAAGGTATTCTGGTCCAACATCCCACTACACACAAATATAAAATAGACCGACACCCCCACCCCCAACACACGCACACATCAAATGGCCAATCCATCCAATTTTTTATTTGGTAGCTTTATACTTTAATTCATTGCCGAACAGAATTATTGCCTGAAAATCAGAATCTACGAATACACTTGTTGGTGTTGTTTATATGTCATTTTATTTAACATTAGTCTGTAGTGAAGGATTTGTTTCAGTTATGTATTTTATTTTCTTACTGTTAGCTACCACTAGTGGAGGAACTATACAAAATTATTTTGGCTCCTATATATATATATATATATATATATATATATATATATATATATATATATATGTGTGTGTGTGTGTGTGTGAGTGTGTGTATGTTCGTTTATTCGTCGTTGCGTGTATGTGTGTGTGTGTGTGAGTGAGTGATTGTGTATGTGCGGTACACATATTATGGAAAAATTCCCCATGACGTATTACCGCCTTCACAACTGGCTTGTATAAGGTCAGTTCGTACAAGCTGAACGGCACTTTTCCCAGTGGCCGATTAAATTAGCTAGATTCTAGATTTACATAGCGTTATACTTGAAAAAAAACTTCTTCAAAACTCAACTCGTTTTTTTAGCGCAATTTCCATACTGGGGGATTGCGATTATTAACTCGTCATTTCTGGATGGATGAATGTATGGATGGATGTGTGTCCGCAGCTTTAAGTCGTCTTTAAGTCGTATCTCCTCCTCAACGAAGCAATATCGAGGACTAGTTCCAAAAGCAAATATGTTAAGCAAGTTCCGAGGATGAACATAGGCCAAAAAAAAAAATCCCGGAATTTCTTCCTGGATTTCCCGGAAAAGCCAAAAAACCTCGAAAAAATGCAGTTTTTGGCCCATATCTCGGCAACCAGACCACTTAGCGACTTGAAACATTTACCAATCAATTTCTGCCATAATTTAGAACAATATTGCCGAAGAAAGTTTTCAAAAATATCCTTTCTTTCGGTCACAAAATGTTTTTTAAAAGCGCGACAACTAAACACCCCCTATACGTCCGCGTTATTTAAAATTACATTATACATAATACATTACAGTACTATATAGCAAAGAAGGCAGTGGAAGGCGAAGGAAAGGAGGGTAAATCATGTGACCTGGCTGGCTTAGCAGCGAACTGCGCGAGACGCAGGCGAAGGAGGAGGAGCTATGATTTATCTCGATTTAAAATTGTTATGGATAACATAAGGAAATTGCGGTTAAATTGTCACTAGACTTTTTATTAACTTGTTTTAATACTAAATTTGGTATGTATACATAAAAACTAGGGTCTCTGGTCAATTTTAATGGCATTTCTATCTCCTTGGATCAGTCTAGTATCTAACAAAGTTTTCAAAAAGGTTGCCAGTGACATGTTAAAAAATGTATAGGTTTATAAAAGGAGGTGGTCAATTTTCTCCCCCGTGTGGTAACATTAGTATCAATGTGCAGTAACTACTGGAGATCAAGCTTAAATCCGATTAAAGTACCGATTCTGGATAAAAATCCGTTTTAATGTCATTTTTTCGTTTCCGGTTAAATTGAATTAAAGTGGGGATTTTGGTTTTGGTTTTAGTTTAGAGAAAATAGACAACACTATCAACCTTGCACCGTTGTATCCTTCCTCAACGGGCCAGTTATCTCGTCTATACTAATAGTTTCGCTATCTGTCTATCTGTCTATCTATCTATGTATATGACAACAACGCTATAGAGAAAACACAAAATAAAAACTTTCATAGTAAAACGAAAACGAAACATGACGTCACATTGAGAATATAGTAGAAAATAGTATCAAGCCGGAGAGTGCACACAGTAATATGACGTCATTGATTCTCGAGTAAACATTGAATTAAAAGGCACATTTGTCTAATCTTAAAAGTTGCTTGTGTGAAGAGTTTCTTTCATGCAATTCTTCGGGTAAGGGGCGGAGCCCCACCCTACCCCGTAAGAACGTCTAAGCCACATGCCCCCCTCAAAAGAAATGACCTCATCGATACTCCATAATAAAAAGACTGACATTACGGCCTAAATTATGTGTCTAATTTTATAAGTGTTTTGAGTGAAAAGTTTCTTTTATCTCTTCGGGTAGAGGCTAAGCCCCACCCCCCCCCCCCTCCCCACGGTAGAATTTCTAATCCCCCCGACCCCCCCCCCCCCCCCCACCCAAAAAAAAACTAATATAATTTATATATAAAATATATGCTTTTACCAGTGTCAGCCTCCCCCGACCTGCAAAGATTCAAGTGCCCCACCACCGGAAAAAAGCCTGAAACGAACACTGTCTGTCTGAGTAAAATTTATCGGCCAAAAGTAGCAAACAGGTCTATATTATAGAAGTAGGTTCTTCCTTTAGTTTGTGTGATCTACAAATGCGACCAGTGTTTCTTTCAGAGTTATTCCTCCACGGAAAGGGGGGGGGGGGAATACTTAAAATTTTCGGGGGTAAAGGTGGACTAAATTTTTTGGAAGGGGGTGGACACTGGTGAAAGTATGTTTCCTATGAAAATTATATATTTCATTGAATGCGACTTATGTCGTTCTTGAGATTAGGTGCAAGGTTTAGGGGTATGACTTCGACTATGTTTAGTATCAATATGCAGTAACTTCGCGTAGATCAAGCTTAATCCCAGTAAAAATACCGATTCTGGTCGGAAATCTGTTTTCAATGACATTTTTCGTTTACGGTTAAATTTGAAGTTGAGGGGGTGATATTTTGTTTTTGGTTTTCAATTTAGACAAAAAAAAAACAACACTATTAAACTAGCGTCCGTTGTATCCTTCCACAACGGGCCATTTATCTCGTGTTAAATACCGACAAACTTTGAATTATATTTTAGTTTCGTCCATTGCGAATTGCGTGAAAACAGTGTATACTATATTCGTTGGATTCATTAATTTTGTTGTGATTGTGATACACGTGTGACAAAATTGGTAAGTTATTTTTTTTGTTTTTTGTTAAAAAGAAACACTGCATTTGATATTAATAAACAAAATATATGTCATATTCATATGTCATATTCAACCCACCTACAACGCGGTACACTTGCCATAAACGTTAAAATATGCCATTTAAATCATTGAAAGTGAGTAGGTGGAGCAAGTTGAAACATGACATAAGAAAAAAGTAACTAGTTACTGCTGTGCAATAAAAATTAAATAAGTATGTAATTTTAGTTTGTTTTTTATAAAACGTATCGGCATTTTGTCTAGTCTGCCTTTTAGCAGTCGGCAATATGTCTTGTCCAGTATTTAACGAACACTTTTTAAAAATTTTTAACTGATTTCTCCCCACCCCTTGACAATACACGAACAAAACATGGTAAATCGCAAAACACATCAGCATTTGTTCATATTCCAATAAAAAAATTGAGTAATTAATCTTAACTATATGATTTACATAAAATTTAATTTTAGTACATAAATAGGTATTTAAAATAAAACACAGCGAACACACGTTATAGCTAATGCTGTTAAGACTCAGTGCAAATATTTCTTCCTGCAACATCTTTGACCACCATATTTTCCCGCGGGCAGCAGATGGTATCGCTGGTGTCCATACAGTCCCTGACCAGGTACTGGTTGGTCATCTGACAGATTGTACACCTGGCACACTGGCCGTCAACAAAGTCACCAAAGTCTTGCTCCACCCTGTAGTGGTGACCGATACATCGAATCACCGTGTCGTGGGTTGGGGTACAATCTGTTTTAACGTATTCGAAACTAAAAATGTCAGCTTTAGAGCAAGTGACGCACATCTCCAGCGTGTGGTTGTCACGTGAGTTGTAGGTGCCCTCAGGGCATGGTTCACAAGATGGATTGCCGGAAGGTGGCGTATTAAGATACTGGCCTCTCTGGCAAGTAATCTGTTGACCAGCTTTTTCGTGAAGAACAAATGCGTTGGTTTGAATCGTTAATAATATTACAACAGATACAATTATAAACATCTTCACTGTGGTAAGATTTGTTTACAAATTCTGAAATGCGAGTAGAAATTCAACTTTATTATTTTTTAAAAATGAATTCTATATATCGTCAAAAATAGTGCTAAACTAATTTAAAAACAGCGCTTCACTTCCAATATATTTGCTCTATTTTAACACACAAATGCATTTCTGACAGAAAATTCCCTTTTTAAACAGTTGAATAAAAGCCTTACTTTGTAGACATAAGAGTTCAAATTTAGTGGGAATAGCAAGGGGACTTAATTGTCCCCGCTTTTTCTGTACACACACACACACACACACACACACATATATATATATATATATATATATATATACATATATATATACATATATATATATATATATATATATATATATATATATATATATATATATATATATATGTGTGTGTGTGTGTATATATGTGGGTGGGTGTGTGTGTGTGTGGGTGTGTATGTATGTATGTATCTATGGTAGATTTACGTACCAGTTATCGATACGTCCCACCGTAATTTCGTTGAAACTGACAATAAAATAGCGCGACTACGTTTAAATCATTCTAGATGATGGAATCTTTGTTTAAAAAATATATATATAACGAAAGCGAACATTGTTCAATGTAATTTTTTATAGTCTTTCTAGCTGCGTTGTGTGGTACTGACCAGATACCTCTACTTGATAAATATACTATATTTTGCTATCTTCTTCTTCTTAGTACCGTTCGTGCCTAAGACACATGGGGCAGATGATTGAGAATTCATCTGATTCATTGACCTCGGCATATTAAGGGATAGTGTGGTCAGCACTATGCTCAGCCGCCTTTGTTTCCCTAACGTAAGTTAGGTACTCATCAGAGCTGGGTGGACTCAAGGACTTTCCACTGATTTTAAACCCGGATTCGAACTCGAGACTCTCGGGTTAGCAGTCTAGCTATATTTTGCTATACTTTGCCAATTAAAAACTTTTAAAATTAAATTTAAATGTTATTGTTTCAATACTAATTCACCTAGCCATCATAACCAAACATTTTTACCCTTCAGAATCGTCAAATATTAAATATTTATTTTGAAATTCTACAATATTGACGATACTAAATTAACGAATTAAAAAACACACTAACATAATATTTTTACCCTACTATTTGAATAAGGAAATGACAGTTTTATTTACCTGCTTGCACAAGACGACTGTCTAACAGTTAACGGGTGGGTTAAAACGTCCCAACAAGATAACACGATAAGATACGTTTACATACCTTTTTCTTTACTACTTATGTCTGCTACCACTTTTATCAATCTTTGGTACGTAAGCCTATGGCATTTTTTTTGTACTTAATCGATAAAAGGATTTCCTTGAAAAAACTTGCGGACTTGTTCCTTGGAAAACTTTGAATTACTATTATTAATCATTAATCATTACGTTCTCCAAAAGTGTATATATACATGTGTATATATATATATATATATATATATATATATATATATATATATATATATATATATATATATATATATATATATATATATATATATATATATATATACATACATACATGTATGTATACATAAACCTGGTAGTACATGGTAAGTGCATTTTTTGGGGGTAAAGAATTATGCATGAAACTTACATCGAGGGTGAATATTGAGTGTGTGTGTGAAGAGGGGGTGGGGCGATAACATTTAAAGTATATATTTTCGATCGATTTATGATCTTTTTTTAGGTATGTTTAATATTGTAATGTTTTTATTAGTTCTATAGACACATTTTTTTTCTAAGCAATCGGTAGGTCATTCCACTTTTGTTTTCAGAAAAGAGGCAATAACATGAACTCCAGAATATCTTAAAACGACACTTATATACAACAGTTGGTGTGTGTGAGTATAGGTCATAATGAATGCGAAAGGGTGTATGGATTATCTAAACGTATTTCAAGTCGGCATTCGCTTATTCACCTGAGGCAATAGATATTGATATGAATCAAATTATTTTATAGTCGATGATAAAGATTGCTCCAAATTTTTAACAATATTTTTCTAGAGTAGTTTTAATTTATATATTTTTTTAAAGAAATTCGAACTACAAACCTTTTACATTCACATACTGGTAAAACTAAAATCGTTAGCATTTGGTAATGTCAGCTAGAGGGAAATAAATGTTTTTTTTTTTAAATTTTTATCTACTTAGCCACAAATCATAAACTTTTTTATCCCTATCAAATGGACAAGACTATATTATTCTGCTCACAACCCTATAGCAACACTGAAATTAAAATTAAATTAACCTCACTTAAATATATACCCACATTATATTTAACTGTAAACAAAGCCTAACTCTTCCTCTACCTCTAATTGTGACTCTAATATTCTAGCGCTATCCAATCATCTTGTTTTAAACGCGTTTTCTCAACGCTTTGTTCAAATTATTTGTTTAGAAACCTTCAATCTGCTTCCCCCTTTTCAGCACGTAACAAAACGTTACAGTAACGTCTAAATTAAACCGCACATAAATGTTAATAAAAAAACCCCTACCACGAAGTAAGAATAGCTTTTTATAAGTATTTAAAACGTAGCCTACCACACGCATAGATATATCGACGTAGGATATGTCGTATACTTTTATATCAATCGATCGATTCTGTCAGCAATGTAATCATTATCGATTACTTCCTACTTGATATCTATACAGGGGTCGGCGTGGTCGAGTCGGTAAAGCTCATGTTTGCTAAACCGAAAAAGTCTCGAGTTCGAACCCTCGGGCAGATGAGGCTCGTTAGCTGGGGACAGCTACTCTTCTAGGATAGACAACTCCAAAATCAAACAACTGCTGCCTTGTAGCTTGTTCTTGGTTGGACAAAGGCTATGGAAGCAAATCCAAAAAGAAAAGCAGGCTGAAATCGGATTCAATGGCTTCAATGGCGCATAACAAGTTGACACGTAACGCTTAATTGTGTTGGAGGCGAGGTCGAGTCGGCAAAAAGCTCATGGTTGATAAATTCGAACAAAGTCTCGAGTTCAAACCCACTGGCAGATAAATCTCGATCCCCTTCAACACTAATAATTAAGAACGAAGAAGAAGAAGAAAGATTTCTATACAATTATTTTTCTTGAAATCTGTTGAGAAGTGTATGCCCCATAGAGTTAGAATTAAATTCACAATTAGCACCTGAGGTCTTATATGGTCAAGGGTCATCCATAATTGACGTCACGCTTTTTTTGACGATTTTAACCTCCCCTACCCCCCTCCCGTCGTCACTAAAAGCCAGACCCCCCTTAAAATGACGTCACACCTCAGCCTGCAACCACCCTCAAAATTGCAGTTGAATTTTTTTTAAAAACATCGATATTTTTTCAACATCTTGTCTGAACTGTGTCAAAATAGAGTATTGTAATTAATTCCTATTACAATTTATTAAACCTGTTTTCCAAAACGCGAAATAACGTCTAAATTTCGTTTTCTAACATTGCTTTTTTATAATGCAAAAGTGTGACGTCGCACCATCTGAACCCCCCCCCCCCCTTCATCACACACCGTCACAAAATTACGGACCCCCCCTCCTCCCCCTACGAGTGGGACGTCATTTATGGACGACCCCTCATGTAGTTATTAGAGTAGGATACTGTTACAGCTGAAGAAACATTTGTTTAAAGAACAAAAATAAAATTATTTAAATATAACGTCATATATATTTTTAGAAATGTATATATTTTTAAACAAATTCTTCGTTGTTTTTATTTGAGGCTCAACGTCCATTTCCAGTCATGAGATTATATTAAGTGGGTAAAATTCCTTTTTCGAACCTGAGGGTCCTTGGGGAAAGTAAAGTAGTTCACAAAGTAGTCATAACTGTGCCCGGTTACCTTTCCCTAGCGTGGGCTAGTACTCATCAGAGCTGGGTGGACTCACGGACGTTCTTCTGGCTTGGACTTGGATTCGAACTCGAGACTTTCGGATTAGCAGTCGAGTGCTCTACCGACATACCACGCCGTCCCATTGAGAGATTGCATAACCGACTGTATTTTGCTTAAAGCTTTATTTTTTCATGAATTTTGTTATATTGAGCCTTAATTTCCTTTGTGTTTTTGTTGGTTTTATCGTTTTATTTAAGTGATCGTCCTTTTTCACACATTTTTTTTTATAACCATTAGGTTTTATCGTGCCAATTTAAAATACTCTAGAACTATTCCCCCCCCCCTTCATGCAGCCACTGATTATAAGTACCCTGGCACCGTGTTCCAATACTTAGGGACTCTTGTAGGCTTTAAAAATTCAATTATGGCTCAGCGTAATATAGACAAATATTATATAACAATCTTTCTGCTGGTTTCTGTGTTATTCCAACGATTGGGAGTTGAGTATTTTTATTGGCCTATTTTCCAGACACAAAGACAAGAAGTGTTACGCAACAAGTTACACATGGACCAGATGAAAAGCTAGATTTAAGGGGAAAAAACATCTGACGATAAAATGAAGGTCTACACCGTACTGGAACTCACAACCCGGCAGCATTAGACAACGGTGCTAAAGTAACAAGACGACAATGACATGTACAGAACACGTTTCTCGTGTACAGCCTGGATTGTAAGAACTGTGCTTAACAATCCAGGTTGGTAAACTAAACAATGTTTCAAAGTCAGACAAATAAATCACACAGATTTTTTTCGATAAGTAATATTTAATGCAATGCAAATTTTATACAATAGCTGGAAGTTATATATAGAACAGAGGTAACATGAAACCTATTACATTGAAGAAAAACTATTTAGGTTTTCACATTTAAAAATTATATTCCTGTACTTCTTGAACAAGTTTCTTACAGTATACAGATGTATGATAATATGTACATGCAGCTGTTTTTAAAATATATATGTGAATAAGCAGTATACAAAGAATAGTTTATCTAAAGCAGAACTGTCTGACCTTTGACATAAGACATTAGTCGATGGAGAGTCATGATCTAAACCATATCGTGTGCCATCTGCCTATATGTATCATCAGAACTGCCCCCCTTATAATAATATTCAAATGCGTATTTCACAAATTTTACGGGTACAGAAACAATGTATGTCAGCACCTGTCTTAGTAGACTACGCTTCACATAGTTGAATCGGATTGTCTCTCTTTCTTTCGGAAAATAATCACGTACTGCAAAATAAAAAATAAATAAATATAACAATGCATTCATGACTTTTTATTAGGAGGGAAAACAACAAACACGCAAATAGATCTATATTGTTTAAAAAAATTTAAAGTACTGAAAAAAATGCATATACATCGTTTTAATTCATTACAAGCTTTTATATAATAATGCACTAAAAAGGAGAAAATTATTTTCTTGAAATATATGTAATATATAATAATAATTTATTATTTAAATAACTATAAAGAAAAGCGTGGGTCGCCTTAATATGTATTGTGCGGGATAGTTGGATAAGACTGCCTACTAATTTAAGAAAATTCTATTTAATTCATACAAAATTAATTAAACATCCAATTAAGTCAAATTTAAGGGGTTAAGAAAAAAAAACTTCTTAATTAAAACCTTTTAGTGATTCATTTGTGTATATTTAAGTTAGGGCAATTAAAGAAAAAATATTTCCATGCATCAGGGACTCTTTTGAAAATATGGTTGCCATGGAAACGGCGGTCATCTTAAAAAAACATCCCTTTCTGGAGTTTTAAAATTTCATAAACTACCATATATATCGGCTATATAACCATTGATCCTTCTTGTACTAACACTAATAGAGTCAGCTGGCTAGTTTTTGTTACAGAAATCACTCCAGAATTTTTTATTTTTATTTTCAAAATTTGGTGTGACGAAATTCCATTGAAATTAATGCTAAATTCAATGGAATTTCACCAGAAAACCAAACACAAACGTGCGTAGAGAGAGGGTTATGAAGAAATACTGCCATGTTTGCGTGTCAAAAGAGCGAATGGTGTCAAGTATTGCTCATATTCAACTCATGCTAAAGAAAAGCAAGTATGAATGAGGTAGACAGACTGAAAAATCCACTGTACACCTAACCTACTCAAATACAAGCCTGAACCAGTTTAAACTCTCATTTTTAATAGGTTCCGCGAGAACTAGATCATGTACACATCGGGGAAAAACGAGGAAAATATAAGTTACAACTATCAGCTTTTGAAGGAATTAATTCTCGTTGAATGTGTAACAGTAGGCTAACTTTACAACTAATAATTATGAAAATTAATATATTTGCTTCAGTGTAACAATGAAGAGATACGATTAAATAGTAAAATATTTACTTTGACACTTACCGTGCTCTATTTTTCTTCCGTTCTCATCTTCTATGATCCAAAATTTAGAATTTTCTGCTTCTATAGCAACACCATTAATCATCACAATAATGTAGCCCAAACGACTATCAGTGACGGCGTTATACCTTTGTGAAAGACAACACGTTTTAACATTTCTCAAATGTCATCATTATGTAATATGGGTTTTAATAATGTATTCAGAAAAACCAGAAACCATGAGCAGAGAATGACAACCACAGGGAGAAATACCATAATAGAAGGAGGCACTCAATGAAAATAGTTCATTAAAAGTAAAGAATGCTTGGTGTAAGAATAAATGAGCGCTAACTCGTGTTAGCGTGTTTTGCCATTTACACAAATACAGTAATGTGACCACATGGCCATAAAACTATGTAGTTTATAGTACAAATGATTATTAAAAATCTCAAATAAATTCGGCTTTTACATTTTTGTCAGCACTCTAAAAGAATACTCTACTAAGTATATGACCGCCAAAAAAAAAACAAACAAAAAACAACCTTTAATGGATTTCTTCCAATATTAAATTACGTAGGACTAAGAGATTTCAACTCAAATTTTTTTTTATTCACACAATAACAGACTTGTATGATATTGTTTTTCTTGGTGCATATTGCCCCCTTTCTCTAAATTAGTTATTACCGGTTGCTTTCCAGCATTTACTTTCATGTTTTTGTTCCATCACTGAATCTTCTATTGATAATGTTGATATTGAAAAAACTTCACTTAACCTTCAAAAAGTTTATACATTTCTCAAAGAAAACGGTTTTTTTTAATTTTATTTTATGATAATAATTTAACTGACTATGTATTTTGGATATTTCAATCAAAGTTTACTTTTTTTTTTCGTTTTTTCATAACATAAAATTATCTTACTCGAAACTCTTGTTTTTATGAGCCGCTTCTTGAAGATAATAAAGTAAATTCCTTCCTTTTTCAAAAGCAACTTTCACTTTTTCCATGAAATAAGGCTTGCACTGGTTATTTTCCACAATCAAAGTAACATCACTGGTAAAAATAAAAGTTCGAAATAATATGTATACACATATACGTATATATATATATATAGATATACACATATACACACATATACATATATATATATATATATATATATATATATATATATATATATATATATATATATATATATATATATATATATATATATATATATTTATTTATTTATTTATTTATTTATTTATTTATTTATTTATTTATTTATTTATTGTACATATATATGTACATATATATATATATATATATATATATATATATATATATATATATATATATATATATATATATATATCTATATGAGCAATTTTACAATTCTAGTAAAATATACACATAGTGTGTATACATTAATGCACATATATATATATATATATATATATATATATATATATATATATATATATATATATATATATATATATAAAATTTTAACTTACCTGTCATAAAAAAAAGCTTTCAACGCTATAAAAGCAAATATACAGAAAAGTATAAACAGAAAGAAAAATAGTAAATCCGTTGCACCATCTGCCATAGTTACAGTTTGTTTAGATTCGCCTTATATCAACTTTTAACTGTGAATATATTGGAAAAAATGTTAGTTCATATATCTCGCCCATATATACATATATATATATATATATATACATACATATACATATTATACATGTACATGTATATATATAATATATGAATATAGTAATACTTATAAGGACCTATATATATATATATATATATATATATATATATATATATATATATATATATATATATATATTTATATATATATATATATATATATATATATATATATATATATATATATATATATACATTATATATATATATACATTATATATATTTACATTATATATATATATATTTACATTATATATACATATATATATAATGTAAATATATATAACTATTGTTCACATATCAAATACTAGGTCTACCTTGAACTATATGTTAGGCCTAATATTTTAATTATTATTACATGATTTAGTATAATTTCATTTCAAACCTAACCCAGAATCATAATTGGATTAAAACAGCTAATTGGTGTGCAATAACTAATAAGTATTAACCAGAAAGAAAGAAACTTGGCTTTACTTCCTGAAACAGCGAGTGTGATGTGGCTGCAGTCCCGCACCAATTCAAACATTACATTGGAATATTTTAAATCGGTAATTAACTCTAGTATTACTAGCGTGTTCACGGTGTGTTTTAATAAAAAACGAAGTGGTTAAAGATAGCAATACAATACTTGATCAATGAAAGATATTTAGAGATATAGGCTACTTCACCTTTTGATGTGGAGAGGAAATATTGAATGGATAAATTTGGTGGAAAAGATGGCTGATCGAATAATGGAATAGTTAGAACTGAAGCGATCTAAAAATACTTTTCGGGAATTACTCATTTTCGCTTTAGGAACATATAGGCCTACTGTTAACAGCTGCTTAAATTAAGGTCTATATGAGGTAATGGACATAGAGTGACACCATCTGACAAACGGATGTGGGTGGGGGGGTACGACAATACCAAATATAGTTTTATGACTATGACTTCATGCTTTTTGCCTTATCTCCACATCCCTAAAGGCCCTAATCACACCTGGTGAAATCACACTATAACATCCCTCTAGATAGTTACTATTTCAGAATAAAAATAAAAAGTTTAGCGAAGCCAAATTTAAAATGTATTGATGAATTTTGTATTGCACAATTAATGCTGAAAGTTAGTTATACATTTTCACTTTTTAAACCTCCGACTTCTCTTATTCCACCCCCCCCCCCACCACTATAGTAGTGTGACGCCATTTACAATATATACAATATATACATATATAATATATAACACATGACATATATATATATATATATATATATATATATATATATATATATATATATATATATATATATATATATATATATATATATATGTATATGTGTGTTTTTATGTGCGTGTGTATGAAAATAGAATTATTACTAATTTTAACTTAATTTTAATACTTTATTTTTAGTTAAACGCAAAATATGTAATAATGTATTTAAACGCAATACTTGAAATAAATAGTAAAATTATTATGTTAAATCAGTGAAGAAAAATAATTAGTTTACAAATTAATTTTATACAATAAAGAAGATAACCGTACTAGTTTGCTCAAACCTGCTCTACAAATAATCTCCTTAAATCAACACATCTGTCACAAAAAGTCTTATGCGACTTTTTTGTCTCCCCTCATTACCATTCCCCTATGGTCCTACTCCATCTCATGGCTTTTTGTTTTAACTGTCATTCTGCGGATGTTTCGTATCCCCCCCCCCCTTTGTCTGCATGTCTCCCCGGGATGGGATTGGAAATATCTGCTGGTGTGTATACCTTCAAGATGTGCCTTAAGGAGCTGTTGATAGGGCCCTGTATACCTTCAAGATATGCCTTAAGGAGCTGTTGATAAGATCCTGTATACCTTCAAGATGTGCCTTAAGGAGCTGTTGATAAGGCCCTGTATACCTTCAAGATATGCCTTAAGGAGCTGTTGATAAGATCCTGTATACCTTCAAGATGTGCCTTAAGGAGCTGTTGATAAGGCCCTGTATACCTTCAAGATATGCCTTAAGGAGCTGTTGATAAGATCCTGTATACCTTCAAGATGTGCCTTAAGGAGCTGTTGATAAGGCCCTGAAGTTTGTTAGCTGATGACTGTCACTGCAAAATGAACTTCACATTTAATTCCAAAAATTCAATACTTGGCGTTTCTTGACGTAACCTTCTTATTGAAAATATTTTAAAATATATCTTATTTCTGTATCATTTTTAGATGAACAATGTAATGTAGAAATTCAGAAAGACATTACTTCACAATTTTTTCATTATACATATCCTTTGCATAGATAGTTTCATTTTGTATGACAATTATATAATCAATCGGAAAATCCCAATTTCATAAACCTACGGGGAAAATCCTGGGAATTTTAAGTTATTTTGGATACATTTTGAGCTGGATAATCTCAAACTGCGAGCCGAATAATTTTGATATAACTAACTTTTTTATCTCAATATTTACATAAAGTTCTGTGATTTTGCAATGGATAGTGTTTCATTAGACAAAACTAATTTATACCGTCAAAGTTAGAAAGTTGCACGAGGTGTAATGGTACTTTGCTACGACCTAGTACTGCTAAAATAATTGGTAATTATCAACGAACTATAAAATCCCGAATACTAAAATTCAAACTTCTAATCTTACAAACCTTTAATTAAATTGTATGGTCATCATATTTCTTTACTACCCTTACCCCAGCGTCAGATTTCAACAAAGATAAACGATACATAAATGTCAAAGAATAATACTATGAGAGTGAAGGATAGTAATCAGTGGCGTAGCGAGGTCGGGTGTCACCCGGTGCGGCACTTAATGGTGTCACCCCCCAGAGGCGTAGCGACCCTTCCCGGGGACAAACTTTCAATTTTTTTATTTGCACCCCCCCTCCCTGAAACTTTCGATTTGCACCCCTCCCCTCAAGTTTTTCTCTATATATTTTGCTATTTTTTGCCTTGGTGACACTCACCTAAATGGTGTCACCCGGTGCGGTCTGCACCCCCGCCCCCCCCCCCCCCCCTCGCTACGCCCCTGATAGTAATGTAATACAAAATTTGCTTCAGACATTTGTGTGTAGGTTATTTGTATATAATCAGGCTTATATAAAAAAAATATACCTAGTTGATTCTATCATTTGTAAAATCCTTCTCGTGGTTGTTTCAATATTTAAATACTGAAATGTCTGTAGATAGCAAATCTGAAATTATCTAAGCAACTTTAAAAGACCAATAGTGTTTAATAGGTTTTCGTTGTAAACATTTTTTCTTGTGGAATCTTGCGATAAGATTTAATGTGTCGGCATATTATCAACATTGATAGGCAGTATATCTTCACATTTAGATACTATACAAAAACTGTTCCGTGTTGTTTGGTCTTTTTGTATTTGCTTCTTTAGTGTGCCAAACACACAGAAACAAAAGTATCGATTTACGTCTATTGATATGTTCGATTTCTCGTAGTGAAAAGCTGGGTTTTCAGATCACCTACTGTGTAAAAAGATTGCGTAACACAGTGTACTACAAAACTCAAATATCCGCGAACATTAAATACGAGAAAAATGGCCCGTTGAGGAAGGATACACAGGGCGCTAGGTTGATAGTGCTGTCTATTTTCTCTAAACTAAAACCACCCCATCCCCCCCACACACACCCCCACCCCCCCCACCCCCCCCCACACCAACACCCCCCACCCTCACCCCCCCCCACACCCCCCACACACCAACACCCCCCACCCCCACCCCCCACACCCCCCACACACCAACACCCCCCACCCTCACCCCCCACCCCCACCTCCCCCCCACCCCCACCCCCCAAAAAACATGTCTACCGTCCCATTCAACGAAATATAATTATATACTTTTTCCAGTGTCCGCCCCCTCCCCGAAATTTCTACCCTCGCCCCCGAAAATTTCAAGTACCCCCCACCCCTCTCCGGGGAGGAAAAAGTCTGAAAGAAACACTGGTGTCGCGCTTAGCCACTACCCGAAGAATTGCATTAAAGAAATTGCAAGAAAACCACTTTTTAGATTAGACACATTAATTAGGCGGTAATTTTATTATAGAGTATCGATGAAGAAATTTCTTTTGAGTTAGGGAGGGGGGGGGGGCTCAGACGTTCTTACGCGGGGGTGGGGCTTCGCCCCTACCCGAAGAATTGTATGAATGAAACCACTGAGATTAGACAAAATTGGGTTTTTATTCAATGTTTACTCGAGAATCAATGACGTCATATTACTGTGTACACTCTCCGGCTTGATAATATTTTCTTCTATATGCTCAATGACGTCATCTATAATAATAGTTTCGCTGTATTTTCATAGTTTCACTATGCATGTTTTTAATTTGCTTGTGTTTTCTCTAGAGCGTTCTTGTCAGACAGATAGATAGATAGATAGATAGACAGACAGCGAAACTATTAGTATTAATAATTAATAGTCCTGGTCTTTTCTACTATGACGATATTGTGTCAAGATTATTTTATGGTGTATATGGGTATACATATATATATATATATATATATATATATATATATATATATATATATATATATATATATATATATATATATAATTTCGGACAAAAATTATCGATCAATAATAACAACAGGTTAACAATCGACGACCATAATGAACAGGATCTTTAGTACATTACAAATCGTGTATACCATTTAAAAAAAAAAAAGATTTTTTTTCAAAAATGGAAACATATTTCTTTTATTAAACCACAGTGATTGATACATTGCAGTATGATTTATGATTTAAAATCAGGTGCATTAATTTTACTAACAGTAGTGAACCATAAGATTTATGTTAAAAACAGTTTTTTAAACATTTTAATTAAAGCGTGGTATTTAAGGAGCAATTAATATGATAGGATAAGTTTAAGAAAGTTTACAGCAGGCTCAAATGCCTTTAAAAATATTCTATCTTACAGCAGCCTAAAGTAAAGTTCTTCTTCGAATCTGAAGTTCCGTGCGGCAAGTGAAGTAGAGTTCACCTGTTTCTGTGACCTCGGCATATAAAGGGATAATGTGGTCAGCACTTTGCCCAGCCGCCTTTAGTTTCCCAAAAGTGAGTTAGGTACCCATCAGAGCTTACAATAAAAAAAAAAACATGAACACATTCATAACAAAATCGTGGTCGTTTTTAAAAAAAAAACATGAACACATTCATAACAAAATCGTGGTAGTTTTTAAAAAAAACCCACTCTACTTTCTTATTCAGAGATCAGTGGTTTTTTAAAAAAAAGTATTTTACTCTACAACTTCTTACCAAGACATATAAAAGTGCACATTTAAAACTGTACATAGGCAAGGAAAAGGGTGGAGGGACAGATAGAGAGTGAGGTGGGTTTATTTCAAATTTCTCACAGATACTAAATACGGTTTAAACCTATGTCACGTAGACTCCTCATTGAGAGACATCCCTCAGCCCTTTAGATAGTTGAATCTCAGTAGCTCCCCAGCTCTGGGCACGTAAAAAGACACACCTTACAGGAAATAAAAGTGTACAACATGAAGTTAATATTGTTGCCATTTTCATTTATTTCACATGAAAAATACATATTCGCCAATATAAAAATATATAGTAAAACAAAAGTATGTTAAAACAGTCAAGTTAAAGTTTTATTTTCTCCGACTTACACCCACCTTGGTCGATTTGTGTTCCAT